TATCTTCTTCACAACAAAAATGTTGCAAGCAACAAATTTCTTGAATTCAAAATTATGATTCAAAATCAATTTCCATTTTAAATAAGAAAATTTCGCACAAACAGTGGCAGACAATACATCAACACCGCCTTCTACACCATCCTCAAAACAAAATGACATCATACATCAATACACATGCTCCTACAGTTCTAAACAAAATGATGTCGCCAAGTGCAAGAAACACCCTCATTGAGACCGCTTGCACCCTCATGAAAAACACCTCTCTCCCTTCTTACATATGGGCTGATACATTGCTTACTGCCACCTACCTCAACAACCGCCTACCGTCCACCACCACCAACCTCAAATCTCCATTTGAACTACTTTATTATTGCCATTCACTGCTCCAAGCAGATACCAAACACAAACTCTCCCCACTATCCACACCATGCATATTTCTCAGTTACGCCTCCTCTCAAAAGGGATACTATTGTCTTGATCCCAACATCAATAGAATCTACAATGCTCGCCACATTCTATTCAACGATTAAATCTTTTCCTTCCACCAAACAAACACCAACACAACCCAATTCCCATCACCACCATGTACATTTCCCTTGCTACTACTCACTTTGATAACCAACCTACCAAACGAACTTCACCATACAAGCTCCCCAGTCCAACACAACCCACCACAAACCATATTACTAACCTCCCTTTCTTTAACCACTCTCATCACTCCACCACCAAATCAATCATCACCCATACCACCTCCCATAATTCCCCTTACTGCCTCTCATCATCCCATGCAAACACGCCTCAAAATAGGCTTTATAAAACCTCATCAAATACTCAACCTCACCCCCCAATCTCACACTGACTCAATATATTACTCCTCTGCCATCAAACATAAACACCGGCGTGAAACTATGTCCACAGAATTTCATGCCCTATAATCTCAAGGTATATGGACACTCATCGCACTATCACCCCACTAAAACATCCTTGGAAGACCTTTCACAGAAAATTCAATGTTGATGGCTCCATAGCTAGCCACAAAGCTCGCTTGGTTGCCTAAGGCTTCACACAACAACACAGCCTTGACTACACTGAAACATTTGGCCCAATTTCCAAACTACCAGCCATTCAAGATCTCATTACACTTAGCCTCACTCACAATAAGCCAATTCTCCAACTTGACATCTCCATCTCATTTCTCTATTATCATCTAACTGAAACCATTCACATGTCACACCCCAAAGCTTCGTCGATGCCACTTATCCACATCATGTTTTTCCCCTAAAGGAAGTCCTCTACGAACTCAAAAAAGCACCACGCCAATGGTTCTCTATGCTCTCCACCTATCTCCAAACCATCAGTTTTCAGCCTAGCTCCTTCAATCCCTCGCACTTTTGCCTCCACAAAACTCTCAACCACCTTTACATGCTCATCTATATCGATGATATTCTTCTCACTGGAAACAATTCCACCCTCATCCAATCTACCATCCATAAACTCCAAGCCCAATTCTACATTAAGACTTCCTATGGTATTCACCTTTCCCAATCTCACTATGCCACTGATATAGTCATCACCGCTGGAATGACAAACTCCATACCAGCCAAAATCCTCTACTCCTCCAAACAATCTACAACACCCCCCCGATCTCAATCCCATGCCAAACCCCACTCTCTACCGTCAACTTGTCTGATCTCTTGAACACTTAACACTAACCTGCCCCTGACATCTCCTACTCCTCCAAACAATTTACATCACCCGATCTTCCTTCCTCTCTTTTCCATTCAGTTGAAGTCACAACAGCAACCCCACCGCAGCTCCATTTGACCAAGCCCATCGTTTCCATCCTCTGGCTCACTGTGCTGTCCCCATGCCCGAGCCAATTCAGTCCCCGTCTACCATCTCTTCTGGCCTAAACTTCTCTGCACGGCAAAGCCTCGAATCCGAGCACCTCAATCCGCCAGTATTCAAGCTTGGCAAGCACTCTACTCTCCACTGTCCCCTCGTCCGATGTACACTTCCAGCTCAAATTCATCGTCCCGTCAATTCATTATCGTCGCCTCACGCGGGTAATCCTAGCTTGCTGCTTTGCAAGTACTGAAGGCTTAGGCATATTATATTTTGTTTGATGAGGTGGATAAATTTAAATTTCATTCGAGATGTTTAATGATACCAGCCACACACATCTTACTAGGTGTGGAAGTCGGACCCAACACCCGAGGTGGTCCCTTATTCCGGAATGGCATCGGGAGGTTGCCAATATTCAAATTTGTGGGGCCGAGCAATTTGGTAAAAGTAAATAATGCCTTAAAAAAACTAATTAAGTGCTCATTCGGGCTGTTCCGATTTGGAGGGAAAATTATGTTGTATTCCTTTGCATGAATTTGAAAACTTGTAATGCGGTGAATACAAGCATATTTCGGTCGCGGTATTTCACAACATCATCCACGCACATCTTATTAGGTGTGGTGGTTAGACCTAACTTCCTGAGATAGCCCCTAAGCAAGGACGATGTTTGGGGACTCTCAAAATTTTGTCTAAATGACGCTCAGAAAGCTTGCGGCCTTAAACGCCACTAGATCCGCAGCCCAACCCTAAATGTGTTTCATTGGACAGAATTTTGCACACTCACAACCGAATCTGCTACACGCATCTAGAACCGGGCATAAGGCGATATTGACGTGTTTGAAGTGAAACTTTGCACATATCTCATCACAGGATTTTCGACACACATTTGGAAGCCAACTGAATGTGATATTGAGGCATTCAATTTGAAGCTTTGTATACTCGCCACTAGATCCATAACTCCCCTGCACGAGCTGACACAAAACAAAATTAAAAGTTTCAAATTAAAATTATATATTTGCACAAATCTAAATGATAACACACCCACGCAAATAATAATAAAATTCTCTAAAGCTAGTCTAATCAAACAAGCATAAAATTTTTGCATGTGCTCTGACCCATATGCTAGATGCTCTATCATGTGGTCTCAGAATGATGTGTGGGTTAAAATGCATGCTAAGGGTCCGTTTGGGGCAGCTTGTGCGTTTCAGGATAAGCTGTTTATCCTGAAATGCGGCCCGCGGGCCGGCCGCAGGGGTCGGCCC